CAAAAGGTAACTGTAGTGTAATGTTCTGTTGTTGGGTTTGTTAGTATCAATTTTGTTCGTGACTTGAGTTTTGTTGTGGGGAATGTTGGAGAGCTTTTCAACAATAACTGGTGGAAAATTGTTGGTGTTAATGAAGGAATGCTTTATGTGGTTGATTTCTTCTTTATGTAGTCCATTGAACAGAGTCTTGTGGCTGTGTTTATGAGGTTTTTGAATGTATTGATTTTTTGTGTGGTGTCATGAGCGGAATTCCAGGGGATGTAGAGACCAGTGTGTGTGTTTTTGCGGTGAATTTTGGTTTCAAACTGTGTGTCAGATCTAATAATTTTGAGGTTAAGAAAGGATAACTGTTTATTGTTTTCGTGTTCTATGTTAAATTTGATGTTGGGATGAATGGAATTTATGTGTTTAAAGAAAGTTAGTGTGTGTTCTGTAGAAGTGAAACCAGCAAAAGTATCATCGACATATCTGTACCAGTATAGTGGAGGATGAAGCGCAGAATGTATGTCTTGTGTTTCAATCTGGGTCATGAATATATTAGCAAGAACGGGCGAAACAGGATTGCCCATACTTAAACCATCTATTTGAAGGAAATGTTCGTTGTTGAAAATGAAGTTGGTTTTAGTTGTTGTAAATTCTAAGAGAGAAGCAAAAAGTGTGCTGGGGATGAGGATTACCTTGTTAAAATTATATTAAAGTTTTTCTTCATTACCCTATCAAGCCGTCCCCAAGCATTATTAAAGGTTACCATAACATTTATGGAGGATTTACTATTTAAATAGACTGAGACGTTTGTTACAAAACATTTTAAAAAAATTATATAATTTTCCTGGTTGTATAACCACTAAAAGTGACTATCTGCTAAAAATGAACTTTATCTATAAAAAATATTATTGTTACAAACATCAACATTTAAGTTTTAATTGGGAAATGACTATTCCTTTCAACAGAATGTAAGGAACCACGCTATCTGGGAAAGTAAACCAAGAATATGAACATTAACTTATCATATTAACATTAACCAAAACGGTTAATTGCATCCTATCTTATATAAAAAACAATATACATAGGTAAATAATGTACACTATAATTAGTATTTTACTTCATTCTAATATTAGTTATGTGGTATAGATTTTAGAGAGATCAAAATCTAGATTGTTAATAGAAGTAAAGTCATCAATATAACAGAAGGTAAAATCGTATGAGCTAGGCGTAAACTGTTCAAAAATGTATTTTCATAGAAGTAAAATATATATATACTAGCTATATTCGAAGAAAAATCGGCTTCCGCAAGAAGCCATGTGAATTTGACTTACATCCAGCCAATCAGATTTATTTCTTTTTTTACATCTTATGTCTACATCTTACCCTAATTTCATCATTAATCCCTTACCCTGATGGCATGGCCTGGTGATCGGGGGTTAGAATCCCCGTCACAACGAACATGCTCGCCCTT